TATCCTGAACCACTAGATGAATTTTAATTAGACTATCAGGGATTTTTTTTAATTCATTCAACCTTTATTTAGACAGGTTAATAATCCCATTGAGCCTCGAGGTCTCATTTACGACAACAATTGACAGTTATAAAAGATGGCAACAAAGTAACAGAAACAGCTAGATTATAAGGCGAATGTAGAAAACTAAAAACAGGAACATGTCTGCGTTGGTCCCTGCCAGGAGTCCAACAGATTCTTAAAGCCACTTAGAGAGGTCAAGGTCGAGAGCTTCAGATCTTTTTGTAAGATATTCCAGGAAACGAGCGGAGTAGGAGAAGGCCCTCTTGCCTAGTTCAGTCCTCACTGAGGGAACACTGCAGGTAATAATGTCCTGAGAGAGCACGCTGTAGCTGCACTCACGCAGAGACATGTAGGAGGAGATGTAAGAAGGCAGCAGACCAAGAAGTGATTTAAAGATGAAAATGTACCAGTGGGATTAATCCTTAGATGGTCTACAACTGGTTACGATCCAGTTCAACGAGGCCACAACGTCCAACTCATTTTAGAAAACACAAAAACTGATATTTAGTCACCAAAGTCCATGGTCATTAATCCAGGTACAAATCCAACAATGTTCAGTCATGTCATCTGGATGGTTTCTTCTGCTGAGACATTTCATCCAAAGGACTTCTTCAGTCCAAGGAGCCACAAACAAACTTGAGTCCCACGAATACCACACTCCCATAGTGGGGGAAAAAACAGTTTGCTGATGATAAGATGGTTTCTGATGCTCGCCCTCTCCCCCATCAACTCCTCTGAGGCAGTCCTGCCAAAATCATTCAAAACACCAAAGTTCATGCGCAATAATCCAGGTACAGATGCAACAATGTTCAGTCAAGTCATCTGGACGGTTTCTTGCTCTTGCTGACACGTTTCGTCCTTCATCCAAAGGACTTTTTCAGTCCGAGGAGCCACAAACAAACTGGAGTCCCACAAATACCTTTAGATTTCAATATTTAGTCGGTTTTACAGATATTGAACTAAAAAATTGTTGTGGTACTAGCCGAGATTAATTCACAACACATACTCTGAGTGTGACTTTTTTTTTATTATTGTGGAACAACAGCTGAGCTAGAAGAAATATAATTGAATATGGTTAGGGGTCGCCACAGCGAACTAAGTCACAAGAAGACTTGGCAGTTATTTTTATGCCGAATGCCCTTCCTCATGCAACCATAGACCACCGAGCTACCACAGCCCTCTGTGTGGAGCAGAGAGCTCCTATCTAGGACACCGGGAGGAGCAGATGGTGGGGGTTAAGGGTCTTGCTCAAGGGCCCAGAGTGGGACGAATGAGGGTGAGGGCAGGTGTGGGTGCTTCACTTACCCCACCCACATTTTTGATGTTGTCAGTACCTGGGCTTGAGCTCGTGATCTTCCGATCACAGGCCCACCTTCTCTAACCTCTGTGCCACCACTCCCCTACACACACACACACACAGGTTTGTTTTGCTATCTTTGTGGGGCCTTTGCATTGACTTCCATTTATTTTTCATTCATTTCTATAGCCTAACCATGACCTTTATCCATAACCTAACCATTACCAGTACATACCTAACCCTAAACCTAACACATCCTCAATTCACACCTTAGTCCTAAACCTAGCCCCTAACCCACCAACGGGACTTCTTATGGGGCCCGGGCTTTGGGCCCCATAAGGAGCAGTTGGGCCTCACAATGTAGTATAAGTTGGAAAAATGGGCCTCACAAAGTAGCATAAACAAGGACACACACACACACACACACA